CGACCACCATTCTCCAACCTACTCTGTCCTGGGCATTCCTTTCTAGTTCTATCCAACTGTTGTTCATTCTTCTCATTGATGTCTCCATTTTTCGGTGTAATATGTTCTTTGGTTTTCCTCTTTTCCTTTTGCCTTGACGATTCCAGGATATTAGATATCATTTATCCCTTAATACATTTCATGAGGTTAAGAATAATGTCGTACCAACATCAGTATTCGAAGAATAAACCAAGTAAAAAAAAACCTAAATGACTACAATTCTATGAAATATTTTCACTGACTTAAAATGCATACAGTTTTTCTACTTAAGAACGATATTCAACAACGACGACTTACTTCTAGTGTTCATCCATGAAAAAGCTTTATCAATATACGAGAATATTAACCATGAATCACCAATAAGTCATGATATTTCCAAAGTATCAATTTATGAAACTAACTATGAAAGCAATAAATTTAATCTTGTACGAAAGGATTCGTTAGTTTAAATCTGAAGGGGTTAATGGATGAGAAATATTGAATTGACTTCGAAAAAACAATGGCAATTAGCATCATTCTACATTGAAGTCAGGTGACCAACTTAAACAGTCACCTAATTGAATATAAAGTCAGTATATATTGAACATCAATGAAGAATTATTCAACAAACAAGTGATATTAGTTATTCGGTCTAAAAATGTTCAGAGTGGAGCTATTCAATGTCGGGTAGAGACAGATATCTACTTCAGTACAATGGAAGATGATCACTCAATTTTGTGGATTGGTTGAGATTAGACATTAACATCGTTAGATGCCGGCCAACTCAGTGGTCTTGAAATTAAGCGTTCACGAGAGAGAGAGTGAAGGTCCTGGGTTTGAGTCCCACGAGCGGGATTGTGGATGGATACTTCTGAAGAGTCCCATGATGGGACGAAACAGCCATCCAGTGCTTTCAGGTTTTCAATGGTGATCTAACATCAATCAGTTCATGATCTCAATAAAAAATACTTATGTTGACAGATCAGCGATTATCATTAAGAAGTCTTGGTTCAATTGAGTATTTTGCTTTTTGATACTTCTTATAAAATTTAAAAAAAGACATTTAAAGTAATTTGTAGTTTTTTAAGGGTTCAACTCAAAGACATTGGGATCAAATTATACTTATCTATACTAACAGATCAAAAACTAAGTAGACTAATTTTCAACTAAGAACCAATTCAATATCATAAACATATACCTATTGCATTAGTTCACATCTATTTTGAATTCTGAGGGGAGCATGGAGAGGACCATGAGAAAAAAATGAGTCAATGACCCAGTAATCACATAGAATATACTTTTATTTGATAATTGAAGGAGTCGACAACAATCCGTAATAGTATGTAACTAAGACAATTCAACAATCACAGAATAAAAGTAGTGCCATGAGACTTTAAATCTTATAGCAATTCATGTGCAATTGAGTTTGTTCTTATTTAATTCGGTTAAGCCCTTTTATTAACTTATTTAGTGGACAAAGTCATCCGTACTATAACAACGTAATTTTTTTTTTTAATTACGCCTGTTACTCCCAATGGAGCATAGGCCGCCGACCAGCATTCTCCAACCCACTCTGTCCTGGGCCTTCTTTTCTAGTTCCATTCAATTCTTGTTCATTTTTCTCATGTCTATCTCCATTTCCCGGCGTAATGTGTTCTTTGGTCTTCCGCTTTTCCTTTGACCTTCAGGATTCCATGTGAGGGCTTGTCTTGTGACGCAGTTGGGTGCTTTCCTCAATGTGTATCCTATCCACTTCCAGCGCTTCTTCCTGATTTCTTCCTCCGCTGGGATCTGGTTTGTTCTCTCCCACAGTACGTTGTTGCTAATAGTGTCCGGCCAATGGATCTGAAGTATTTTGCGTAGACAATTGTTAATAAACACCTGTATTTTCTGGATGATGGCTTTCGTAGTTCTCCAGGTTTCTGCCCCATAACTATAACAACGTATTGTGCCTTTATTATCGTTGTGCATGTATGAAATATGTATGCTTGAACATTTGCTTACCGCCTATGCATATATTCATTCTGCTAGCTTTATTATTAACTGCTTAATTGATATATATATATATATATATATATATATATATATATATATATATATATATATATATATATATATATATATATATATATATATATATATATATATATATATATACATTTAAACCCACACACTACCCTACTCTTTCGAGTCGCTGACTCAATCAGTTTCCCCTCTGCTTTGTTGTCGTTGCTTCTCTTTGCCTTCTGATTTCAAACACCGTTGAGGATTATATGATAAAGGTTAGGAGGGTGATTGGTCGGCGAACCACAGCCACTACAATCTGTTACAATATATATGCATATAGGTTGATCAGTTTGAAATTCACGTACATCTATTTTCAAGACAGTACAGATGGTATAATCCATTGTCTATCAACAATAACAGTATTATGTCATGATATATCATGTTGTAGATTCATCATGGACATAGTTACACAATACCCACATCATTCAAAATGTAGAGAATATGTTTCAGATGATGTAATACAAAACGAACTGATCCCTCTTTATTGTTTCATATTTGATAATAAAGTAATCAAATTTTAATCCATAACAGATTGATATTATTGAAAGTCTAAAGATCTTTTTGTCAGGTTGATGTATAGAGCTGAAAGTTAATTAACTAAACATCAGTTGATCTTTCATTTGTGTTTATTACCAAATACTTACAGTATCTAAAGACATTTACTCATACTTCATAAAATGCGCCGATGTAGACGTAAAGGCAAGAATTGATAAAACAATGTCTGTATTCCTACAAGTGAAGAATATTTGGAACTCAAAACAACTGTCAAACTATATCAATGTCAATATAATCAATATAAATGTCAAAACAGTTAGTTATATTGTAGGCAACTGAAACTTCAAGAACTACAACAGCCATCATTAAAAAAATACAAGTGTTTATAAACAACTGTCTATATGAGATACTCAATATCGGTTGTTGGTCAGATATTATCAGCAATAACCTACTGTAGGAGAGAACAAACCAACTTGCAACTGAGGGGGGAATTAGAAAAAGACGCTTGAGTTGGATAGGACGCACATTGAGGAGATCACCAAATTATATCATGAGACAAGCGCTAACTTGGAATCCTGAAGAGAAACGGAGGAGATCAAGGTCAAAGAACACACTGTGTCAGGAATTAAAATCGGACATGAGAACAATAAATAGTAACTGAAAACACCTGTGAAGGATTGTCTATGAGAAATTTGGATGAAGAATGTTGGTGGGTGATTTGGGCTTCTCTATGAAGGGTAACAGCGGTAAGTGAGTAAGTAATAATCACACTTATATAATGTATTGTGTCTTTAAGTCCGACTAGTTATCACGTAATTTACTCGCCAATCAAAATACAACTTATTCGCCGTTGTACTGACTAAACTAATAATTTTCGTCCGCTCTAACCAGCCTAGCGTTTTATTGGTCCGTTGCTCGCCCAGCCCGTCCAGGTGAGTTCAGAATGCCAACAACAGCCTCCACTATGCGAATCATTTATTTCAGATATTCTTGGTTTATATACTAGCTAAGCAGACTGCAACGCATCATAAAATAGGAAACAACATTCGTATAATAATAATCTGTAGATGAAAATGAAACGTATAATAATAGGAATGTAGTTATACACAGCCTAGTTACTGAATATTTATACCATAAGTATACACAGATATTATTACTCCATTAATAGGTCTCAGAAGTTACTCGTAATTTAATCTTCGCTAAGATATAACATACAATATACCCTTTGTGGGTCAGGGTAATTTTACAATGGTTTTCAGTAGAACTAGAGATTAACCAGACTTTCATGTGACAACTCGAACAGTACAGATCAATCCTGTTTCCTGGAGAACTAAACACTGCTCAGATTTAAATTTTATAACATAAATAGTGCTGCTCAATCTCACTTCATAGGAGTACCAGACACGGCATAAGTTTTAACGCTAAAATCTGAATAGTACAACTCAATACTGTGTCGCAATCATTCAGGTATCAAGCACAAGTATTATATTATATAGATCACAACAGAATATTGAAACTTATTCACATGATTGATTTCATTAGATCTAATTTCAATTCTATAATAAGTATATTTCACTGGTTGAAATCATGAGTCAATTGAAGCTAGACCATCATGGAAAACCTGTAAGCAGTGAACGGCCATTTCTTCCTAGTATGGGACTTCTCCCCAGCAGTGCGCATCTACGAACCCGCCCCGCTCCCCCCGCGAGATTTAGAACCCAGAATCTACCAGTCTCGCGCCAGGCGCTTAACCGACTAGACCGTCCAGTGCTTCCAGATTTTTTTATGGTTGTCTAGCTCCAACTGATTCATGATCTTAACCAATGAAATTTTTTCAAATCTCCACAAAACCCATTTTGATAATAAATCAATTTATAATATTATGTACTTTCATTTGATTGGTTAATTAAAATTAACCAATCAAATCTTTCCACAATTTGTAATTTAATAATCAATTCATTTGATCATCATCATCATCATCATTGATCACCGTTATGTTTATGGTTCGTTTCAATTACTGATTACAAATGATCTCATTTTAAAATTTACTAATGAATCAATTATTATTTTGAGTAGATTTCATAATCGTCACTATTTATTGATCGATCGATAAATTGATTGATTGATTGATTTATGAATCGATTAATTAATTATAATGAACTATGATTAATTATCAGTACATGATTTCATTTATTAAAACACACACACATATATATATATATATATAAAACATTGAATCAATCCAGTATGAATCTGTTCAATCTATTCAATTATCAATATATATTGAATATATAATTTATAATAAATAGATGTCTGTTACTAATTGATATGTCCCCCCCTCTCTCTCCCCCCTCTCACTCTCTCTCTCTCTCTCGCCATAGATACAAATGAAATAAATAGAAAAAAAACTATTTTTTGTTGTTGTTTAAATACATCAATCATTGAATAATAATTAAAAAAAAGACAAGTAAAATTAAATTATTTTAATAAATTAAAACAAACTTATAATATAAAGGGAAAGGATTTATATTATTGATTTCAACAATTGGATATTGATCAAAAGAGAGAAAAGAAAAAAAAGAGAAAGATATTTCGGTAAGGAGTATATTTTATTTTTGGTTTTGGTTTTGTTTATTAAAATACTTATTTATGCTTGTGAGTCTTCATGGAAGAGCATACATAGGCTATTTAACGGTATTCTCGATCTAATCTGATCCTGAGTAATCTTTTTCTAGTTGTTATTCATCTTTTTTTTTGATATCTGTTTGTATTTCCTAATGTAATGTGTTGTTTAGCTTTCCTATTTTCTGCTTCCCTTAAGGCTTGTCTTATGATGTAGTTTGATGATTTACATAATGTATATCTTATCCACTTTCAACGCTTATTCCTAAGTACCTCCTCAGTTTGAGAAGTTGGTTTGTTCTCTCCTATAGTAGGTTATTGTTGATGATATCTGACCAACAACCGACATTGAGTATCTCATATAGACAATTGTTTATAAATACTTGTATCTTTTTATGATGGCTGCTGTAGTTCTTGAAGTTTCAGTTCTCTACAATATAACTAACTGTCTTGACATTTATATTGAAGATATTGACATTGATATAGTTTGACAGTTGTTTTGAGTTCCAAATATTCTTCACTTGTAGGAATGCAGCCATTGTTTTATTAATCCTTGCCTTTACGTTTGCATTTAATCCTTGTTCATCGATGATGCCTTTAATTTGTTTAATCTGATTGGCGTTTTGTTTAGCAAGTTTTTTTCTCTACAGGATGTGGTCATTAGCCTCATGTCCAACCTACCCTTTTTACCCGGGCTTAGAACCGGCAGTAACTCTAGAAGAGCTACTGATAGAGTTGTTTATTAAAATAATTCAGTCTAATTCATTGATTATTATATAAAATCGATAGTACATAAGAATGATAATTTTGTTAAATATTAAAGGTTTATAGTCTTTTCAATCTGTATTCATCTTTAGTAAGTTGATTATCTTTATAAGTGCACTTCAGGACCAAGTAGTAGTTGTGTTTTTTTAATGTTTAAGTTTACATTAAAGATACTTCGAAGTTTAATTAACGTCAATTTTTTGAATGAATTAAACAGTTATGTTAGATTTTACACTGAAATTAGGACATAGATGGATCTGATATACATGATATTGTTTATTAGCTAGTGATCAATTCATTATAAATACATCTCAGTAGTTCTACGGGAGGTCAGTCGTCGACCGGATAGCTCAGTGTTGATGTGAAGCTGAGTAACACGGGATCGAATCTGTCAAGGAGTATCAGTTCTTTAAAGACTAATACAGGTACACTTTGCTGACGAGTACCAAATAGCACGAAACCTAGGTTCAGGGTTTCCTGTTGACTGCCTCCAACTAATGGTTGAAGACTCTGGGTGGTATGGCTCAGAATCGATTACAATGGCATTGGTGTATATAGTTTCTGTCTTCCTTTAAACTATGAGGTTAAAATCACTTCATATCTTTCTTACTATCAATTAATTATTTCTTCATGTACTATATCCTTATATGCAAACTTTTTTTCATATATCACCACCAGGGAATTGACTACTTCTATGAATCCAATGTTTATCTTGCTGTGCTAATGAGGTATGGCTACTTGGACTAATGCATATATGTGCCAGGTTGTACATTGTAGCTGACTAATTGACTGACCTCCAACTACCATCTTATCTCAACATAGTGTACGCAATGTCTAGTCACCTAGACTACTGGCTACATTACAATTTGGTCGATAGGATTCGATCTGTATTAAGAAAGACCTGACGTACAAGATATTTGATCACCACCCAGTGATCAATTAATTGTGAACGTGTGCTTATTTTTTATATTATTTGTTGTTAAATAATGACTAGTAGAGAATAGATCTTAATCAAAAACAATCTTAAAAAATGTTTTGTTTGATGGTATGAAGCTTTATTCTTCAAATACAACTATGTGTTATTCAGAGTTAGTATTTCTTTGATTATGAATAAGTGTGATCTTGGAAATTTAAATGGTGAATAAGTACTTCCGTGAGATTATAACTTATGAACAACCTTTGAGCGACGTTAAAGTGATCTTGAGAATGTTCACCTACTAACTAGGACCATATGAGGGTTATAAACCAGTGTGTGCGGAATTAAAATTATTATTTTGTGACGACGAACCACCGGTGAACTCGAGGAAGCTGTAAGAGGCTCAGAAGGAGCCGAAGACGTCCCATCCAATCACCTTTCGGAAGAATGTTCTAGAATTCCAACATGTAGCTTCCCGATTGGATAATGCTAATAACCCCCTGTATGCGGATTGGAAGACTGTAATGATGATTTCGTTCTCACTAAAAACTATAAATACCTGACAATTTTGTACTATGATTGACACTGTTTGGAATAATATTCCTTTCGTTAGTCTTCTGTCTTCTTATTGCGACTTGGAAGGATTTTGGTGTTCTAGTGCTCTGTTATACGCGGTATATCGAGAAAATCAGCTTTTCAAGATATAACAGATTTACAGTTGATGGTCAGGGTTAAGAATTACATTGAGAGTTTTCATCATGAACTGACATCAGCTATAATGCGAAAACTCTATTCAACCAAATGGATGAATGAAGTTCGCGCGAAAATTTGAGATCTGTTATCTTATACTTGATTGGTTCATTCATAAATTATAATCTGGCCGAATTATTCACATCCGGTTATTTGAAAATCCTTAGTACATTACATCTATTATTATTATATCATATCTTTATTTTTGTTCGATATCATTCTCTTCTTAAATTGTTCTATAGTTTTGCAACACAAATGAATACACTTTGTGTAATATTATATAAGTATTGATCTCTTCATTCTTCAGATGATAAACTCAAAGTTGAGATCATGAGTCAATTGAAACTAGAGCACTATGAAAGATCTGGAAGCACTCGACAACCATTTCGTCCCATTTTAGGACTCCTTAGCAGTGCACATCCACGATCCCGGCTCGCGGGATTCAAACCCAAGATCTATGAGCCTCGTGCGCGAGCGGTTAACCACTAGACCACTGACACATCCAACATTATCTTCAGTGAGTTACTATTTCACAAAAGACCTGGTTGAACTCCACTGGTCACTGCTCACTAGAACTCCAGGATATACATCTACAAGCCAGTCACTAGTGAGCATATGTTATTATTACAAACTTTGAAAATAATTTCCCTATAATTAAACTAGCTGACATTATTGTAGTGAATTATATATGTGGTTATATGATTAGACTATCACGTATTCTCATGAAACCTCTTGGATGTTTACATTCACGAGTTACATAATCTTTACTTAAAGCTAGATGTTTATAACAGTAGTTACAAATCCATTTTAAATGTGTGAATACATGTTCATTATCTACCCTGATCTAGATGCTTAACAAATGATTATATACAAACCTTTGTATTGTATATTAAATATATTAGAATGTCATTTGAATCATATTTTATCAATTTCGATAATGTAAATAGAAGACGAAGATGATCTGAATTACGGGATGATAGATTAGCGTAATACATTTCGTACAGTCTGATCACACATTACATACTTGTTACGAAACATTTATATATGAAAATTAAAAGGTCAACTGGACAGGAAACGGAGTAAGAGGAGATAAGGATAATGATAATGATAATGTGAACACAATTCGTAACCTCAACACTCTAGATAATATGTCAATATTACCCAGGATATGTTTAAGGTAAGAACAAACTGTTTTTGAACACACAAAGGGGATTTGAATTTTCGTATGATTAAGGCTTCAATAAACCTTAGTATACGCCCTTTTACACTTTTATACAGCACTACAAAAGCTGAATTTAGATCAATCTTATGGCCTGTTTCGCTTATATGTTTAGCAATAGAGGATGATGGATGTTTATCCTCTGCTCTTATTGGGTCACTTGATTGTATTTGTTTCTGCAGCCGTTTGAGTACATGTTCACTCACTCTAATGTTGAGATCACGATTACTCCTCCCTATGTATGTGTGACCACACATACATTTAAATTGGTAAACACAGTGGGATGTGACGCAATCGTTTCCATGTACTTTAGGTTTTGAATGAAGCATGAACCTTGTTATTTCTTTGATGAAGACCTTTGCTGCGCAATACGTTTTATTGATGTCTGATTTAAGTCGTTGTTTCAATAAAAGTCTGTTTGAATCACCTCTAAATGGTAAGGTGATGAAGATAGGATTTTTCTCTGCCAAAGCTGTAAAAGGTCTCACTGTACCATGAACTTTCCATCTGTTTATGGATTTCAGAGGTTAGCCATTTTCCATTAATCTTTTATTAAGCAACCTAGCATTATCATCAATGGCGTCATTTGTACAAATACGATCGAGTCTGTTGAAAAGACACCTTATTAAACCACGTTTGTATTGCACAGGGCAATAACTATAATAACTAAGATATTGACCTGTCCAAGTTGGTTTTCTAAAAATAGATCGCTTGACTGAGCCATCTTCTCGTCTACTTAGAAGTATATCTAGGAAGGGAAACTGATCGTTCTTCTCCTCTTCACATGAGAGACTAATATGGTTTTGGAGAGTGTTAAGTTTATTTAGTAAACAGTACAGGGGTGGGGTTACAAAAGTTCGACCCTAAAAATGAACACCTCGCCTTATCCCAGGTCACTAAGACCACTTCTAATCCAATTTCCTTTTCAGGTACCTCCAGAACAACCCTTCCACGGTGTGGGCAACCGGGAAGTGATAACCGCCCTCATACCTCTAACAGCACTCAAGACCACTGACTATGAATCTTCCTTCTAGTTTGCCAATACCTCCAAATTCAACATCAGGCATAAATTTACTTTCATCACTGAAGATAGATAATATCACATTATTTATGATAACTACGCCTGATCCTTTATCAGGTTTTAACAAAACAATATCAGAGTTTGTTCGTAGTTCTTTTAATGATTTAAAATGCTGAGAAGTTAATATGCTTCTCTGCTTTGATCCAACATGATGAAATTGGAGTATCTATATGGCTAGTACTTTACTCTTTTATTGTTCAGCCAATCAATGTATCACTTGTACTGACTCAGCTTGTCAAATT